TAGCCTCCAGATCAAAATATAACCAAGAGTGACATTAAAACAACCCCTTCAGGAGCCCTCAGATTTCCAAATAGCTCTGAGGCTCAGAGTCTTTTATTTGCCTGGAACACTGTAGATCATCCAGATCAACTACCATCATGAAACCCAAGTCATGAACAAGATTCTATATACCCTCTGCTTGATTGTCTCTAAGAAAGTCGACCATCATCTGAGTCCCATGGTATACACCTTCTATTACTAGATATTGAGTCAAAATCTACCTTCCTGATGCTTCAGCCTATTGAAACCCAATAGTATCTTCTGTTATTCTGTTTCTGTGTGACAACCTTCCAATTAGATGAAAAGTTGGCTGTCATATCCTTCCTAAGGCTTCTTCATGCTAAACACCCACAGTTCCTTCAGTATCATTTTAAGTTCCTTCTCAATTCTGGCAATTGACCAATGGAAACACTGAGAACCCTCAGGGCAAAATCAATGTGACTCTTATAGTGGTGAAACTGGGGCACCTGGAAGGCCACTGTAACAAATTAGATGATGTGATGGAAGAAGAAATGATTGATGAATTATGGGCATGGGAGAAAAGAAAATGTCAGATTATTTCTTAAGATTGGAAACTAGATGGAATTGAGAGAATAGTATTAACAGAAATGGGAAACGTCAAGAATGTCATCTTGGGAAAGGAGCAGTTTGAGTTTTGGGTGACATTAGGTCAACTATGAAGTCATAGGTAGCTGAAGGTACAGGACCACAGTTTGGCTTGGGATTTTTGTCTTGGAGTAGGAAAAAGAATGGAGCTTTTGGCAGAATTCCACAGAAGGAGGGAGAAAAGAAATGAGATGGAGAAACAATGTTCTAAGAGAAGAGAGTACAGTGTCTCTGAAGTCCAATAAGAAATCAATAGTTTCGGGGGCACCTGGGTTGGCTCAGTCAGTTAAGATATGATTTTGGCTCAGGTCATAATATGGTTCATGAGTTTGAGCCCCGTGTCGAGCTCTGTGCTGACAGCTCAGAGCCTGAAGCCTGTTTCAGATTGTGTGTGTCTCTCTCTGCTCCTCCCCTGTTCGCACTCTGTCTCTCTCTCAAAAATAAACATTTTTAAAAGTTTAAAAAAAAAGAAAGGAAGGAAAATAAAAAGAAAGAAAGAAAGAGGAAGAAAGAAGAAAAAGGAGAAAGAAAGAAAAGAAAGAAAAAAAAAGAAAGAGAAAGAAAGAAAGAAAGAAAGAGAAAGAAAGAAAGAAAGAAAGAAAGAAAGAAAGAAAGAAAGAAAGAGAAAGAAAGAGAAAGAAAGAGAAAAGAAAGAAAGAGAAAGAAAGAAATGATTTCAGGGCTCCTGGGTGGCTCAGTCGGTTGAGCATCCGAATTCAGCTCAGGTCATGATCTCTTGGTTCGTGAATTCAAGCCCCACATCTGGCTCGCTGCTGTCAGCACAGAGCCTGCTTCAGATTCTCTGTCCCCCTCTCTCCCCGGCCCCCCCCCCCACTCTCTCAAAAATAAATAAACATTAAGAAACTGAAGGTTTCAGGGGCACCTGGGTGGCTCAGTTGGTTGAGGATCCAACTTCAGCTCAGATCATGATCTCACAGTCTGTGGGTTCAGGCTCCACGTCAGGCTCTGTGCTGACAGCTCAGCGCCTGGAGCCTGCCTGCTTCGGATTCTGTGTCTCCCTCTCTCTCTACCCCTCCCCTGCTCATGCTCTCTCAAAAATAAATTTTTTTTTTAATTTTTTTTTTCAACGTTTATTTATTTTTGGGACAGAGAGAGACAGAGCATGAACGGGGGAGGGGCAGAGAGAGAGGGAGACACAGAATCGGAAACAGGCTCCAGGCTCTGAGCCATCAGCCCAGAGCCCGACGCGGGGCTCGAACTCACGGACCGCGAGATCGTGACCTGGCTGAAGTCGGACGCTTAACCGACTGCGCCACCCAGGCGCCCCTCAAAAATAAATATTTTTTAAAAATTAAAAAAAAAGAATCCAACTTTAGCTCACGTCATGATCTCAGTTTATGAGTTCGAGCCCAGCGTTGGGCTCTGCACCGACAGCCCAGAGCCTGGAGCCTGCTTCAGACTCTGTGTCTCCCGCTCTCTCTGCCCCTCCCCCTTTCACACTCTCTCTGTCTTTCTCAAAAATAAACATTAAAAAAAAAAGAAATCGAAGTTTTCAAAGTTAGCAAAGGTTTTCACAACAGAGTATTAAGAAAGTAAGAAGCTAGAGGCAGAGAGTATACATTTTATTCCAAAAACAGAAGTAGAGATGCCTGGCTGGCTCAGTTGGTGGAGCATGCAACTCTTGATCTTGGGGTTGTGAGTTCAAGCCCCATGATAGGTGTAGAGATGGGTGGCTTAGTTGGTTAAGCATCTGACTTCAGCTCAGGTCATGATCTCACCACTCATGGGTTCGGGCCCTGCATCAGGCTCTGTGCTGACAGCTCAGAGCCTGGAGACTGCTTAGGATTCTTTGTCTCCCTCTCTGTCTGCCCCTCCCCCCACACACACTCTGAGTCTCTCTCAAAGGATAAATAAGCATTATAAAATTTTTATTTTATTTAAAACACTTTTGGGGCACCTGGGTGGCTCAGTCGGTTGGGCAGCCGACTTCAGCTCAGGTCATGATCTCGCGGTCTGTGAGTTCGAGCCCCGCGTCAGGCTCTGTGCTGACAGCTCAGAGCCTGGAGCCTGTTTCGGATTCTGTGTCTCCCTCTCTCTGACCCTCCCCCGTTCATGCTCTGTCTCTCTCTGTCTCAAAAATAAATAAATGTTAAGAAAAAATTAAAATAAAATAAATAAAACACTTTTTTGTGTTTATTTTTGAGAGAGAGGGAGAGACAGAGTGTGAGTGGGGGAGGGGCAGAGAGAGTGGGAGACACAGAATTTGAAGCAGGCTCCACACTCTGAGCTATCAGCGCAAAGCTAGACTCGGGTCTTGAACTCATGAATCGTGAGATCATGACCTAAGTCGAAGTCCAACGCTTAACCAATTGAGCCACCCAGGTGCCCCATTAAAAAATTTTAAATAAAGGGCACCTGGGTGGCTCAGTCGGTTAGGCGTTGGACTTCGGCTCAGGTCATGATCTGGTGGTCAGTGAGTTTGAGCCCCGCATTGGGCTCTGTGCTGCCAGCTCATAGCCTGGAACCTGCTTCAGATTCTGTGTCTCCCTCTCTCTCTGCTCCTCCCCTGCTTGCTGTCTGTCTCTCAAAAATGAATAAACGTTAAATTTAAAAAAAAAATTTTTTTTTTCAACGTTTATTTATTTTTGGGACAGAGAGAGACAGAGCATGAATGGGGGAGGGGCAGAGAGAGAGGGAGACACAGAATCGGAAACAGGCTCCAGGCTCTGAGCCATCAGCCCAGAGCCTGACGCGGGGCTCGAACTCACGGACCGCAAGATCGTGACCTGGCTGAAGTCGGAAGCTCAACCAACTGCGCCACCCAGGCGCCCCTTAATTTTTAAATAAAATAAAATAATCTAAAGAAAAAATAGAAGGAAGTAGAAAACAACATGATGATTTGGAACTGTCAAATAAAGGTGTAGTTTTGTTCTGATTTAATGGATTGATCCTGTGCAATTTGAATGTGTTATGGAAGGATGTTTATGTAAGTTTCCTTAGAACTTTGAAATGAGTGGGCTTTACAAGCCTATGTGGAGAAGGTAACTTTAGGGCAAATAAGCAAAGTCAAATACCGAGCCAGAAACTAAAGAATGCCTGGGGGGACCTAATCATATAAGTCAAGGAAAGGTATAAGGATAGAGGATTTGTTGGGATAAAAGGGGTAAAGTGAAGGAATTGAGGAGTTCAGGTGGGCTGTGGGGATGGTAGAAATTTATCTATTGTACATGAAGGTTTGAAACCTTGGCCTCTCACCTATGACAGTTACAGGGAAAATATTTGAGAGTGAAAGGTATGATCTCCAAACACCAAACAACCTCTGCTAGCTTTTCCGTCCAGATCCTCCATTTTGTAAGCCATGGTGCCTTCTTCCCTTCACAATATAGTTGTTGGTTGCCCTCTGCTGGTCAATTTTGGTCTTGCCTCTCCAGACATTTAAATCTGAGAGCATGCGCAAAATGGCATTTGGTAGGAAGCTTGAGTACTGAGCCTGTTAGTTTATTAATTCATTCACTACATATTTGCTCACATCTGTGTATAAAAACCTAGTAAAGGAAATACAAAAAAACCAAAATACACAGTCCAAACTCTCAAGAAGCTTACAGTCCAATCTGAATGAAGATTAAAACATGTATACGTAACTACTGTAAAAACACATAGAGGGGCACCTGGATAGCTCAGTCAGTTGAGTATCCAGCTCTTGATCTTGGCTCACTCAGCTCAGGTCATGATCTTATGGTTGGTAGGATCTAGCCCTGCATTGGGCACTGTGCTGACAATGTGGAGCCTACTTGGGATTCTCCCTCTCTGCCCCTTCCCCACTCACTCTCTCTCTCTCTCTCTCTCTCTCTCTCTCTCTCAAAATAGACATTAAACACAGACACACAGACACACAGACACACAGACACACACACACACACACACATCCATTTACTCAACAAAGATTTTTTTTTTTTTTAATTGAGTGGCTTATATGTGCCAGGAATTTACATCCTACTGGGGAAGATTGGGGTATTGTAGGTGACAAGTAACTAGAGAAGACTTCTCAGGACAACTGACATTGAAGTAGAGGTTGAGTAGAAGGTGAGGATGAGAAAGATTATTTCAGGCGGAGAACAGCATGAATACAGACAAATACTATACCAGGAATGCCAGTGGATAGAATGTAGTGAATGTGAAAGAATGGTTAGTGAAAAGGGACCAGGTCAGGAAACCCAAAAAGCAGCCATGAAAGGGTTTAAGGTCTCTGGCTACGACTGGATGCTTTAGTGTAGCTTTCCATATATTAACTCATGTGGTCCTCATAACCCTACTTTCCTCATGAAGGCCCCAGGAAGTAGTGGGTCTAGCCTGCCCTCACCCTGAAAAAAATGGACAGACTTAAGACATATTTAGGAAGCAGAATAAATATAACTTTTAATTCTTACAGAAGTGTGTCAAAGGAGATTCCTTGCATGCAACCAGGTGGATGGTGGTGGTAGAATGATGGGTTCCAGCTGGAGGAATCAAGAGCTTCAAGGAGGAAAGATGAAAGGATGTGCAGGATGGGAAGGGATAAATGATGGGGTATGAAGGAAGGAAGGGTACAGTGGTGAGGGTGATCTCGGAGAGAAGAGCATGAAAAAGGGTATGAAGGCAGGAAACTGCAAAGTGTAAGTGTGGGGAAAGCTCTATGAATTACTACTGAACTCCCTGCACTTGGGGAGATTCATCTTGGAGAAGATGCTGCTGTGCAAGAAATGAAATACAAAAAGAACATCCTCAACAAGTATCCCAGATATTTCCTATGATCAGAAATTGGTGGGGGTGGGGGTGGGGGGCAGCAAGAACCCGGTAAGGTGAGTACAGGAGGGTTAGAGGTCAGAGAAGGAATTAATTCCCTAACCCGGTTAATACACAGAAAATTTAGAACAGTACTTAGCACATAATGAGCATTCAGTAAGAAGTGTTATCTCCCCACACTCCAGCTCCAGCCATTATGTTTCATAACATAAGCTGTTATGTTTGACAGGCTACTCCCTCCTAGCCCAGTGATTTCTGAGATGCGCCTCCTCAAAAAAATCCAAATGAGAGTATGCTTTTTCCTGGGTCTCAGTTATAATCAGACTTCTGGTCATGAAATCCAGAGATGCCCTCTCTTCCTGGAAATTCTAATTTTAACTATTACAGCACAGGAGGCATTCAGATTTCCAAAAACCTAACCCTTCTTCAGCCAAATCCTTTGCTATTCCCTTGCCCAAGAATGAAACGTGTGTCAAAGCTCTAACAAACCTGAAGTTACAGAACTGCGAAGGTGTCCAGTATCCTAGCAGCCGATACAGTTGTGCAAATTAAGCTTCCCATGATCACCTCCATCCGTCCCAATCCAGAGGTGAGACCTCTCAGCTATTTCTGACACAGAAAGGTAAATGCTGGAAAGACACGTGCGAGGGGAGTTCCTTCTACGTATCCTGAAGGAGAGAGAAAAAAGCGGCCGTCACGAACAGGATTCGAACCTGTGCGGGGAAACCCCATTGGATTTCGAGTCCAACGCCTTAACCACTCGGCCACCGTGACTTCCAAAACTATGTTTTGCCGCGCGCTTACAGAAGGGGTCCGCACTGCGACCAGGGAGGGAGTGTGGCAATGGGAAGCCGACTCCGACCACATACAGGATGTGTATCCTGGGACCCCCGCCCTTCGCCCCTTACCTCGCTTCTATGCCACTCAAAGGAACAGTCGGGTGGACCGGGTGACTCAGGGAGGGAAGAGGGGTCTTAAAGAGCGTATGCTATTTAGAAAGCGATGGCGAGGCCTGTGAAGGAAGCAGTTGGAGGGAAGGGACTGGGACCCAGGGTAGCGGCTAGAGGACTCCTCGGGTTAAGGAGTGAGAGGGGTGCTGAGGGAGACTCAGGAAGAGTTGAAAAGAGGAACTCCTGGGGATGGATGAAAGAGAGGAAGTTCTTGGGGAAAGGGGTCTGGGGTTCCTTGGAATTAAGGACTCCATGAGGGGTTGGGAATGTGCTGTGAGCTGGGGGCGTCCCCTTGGGGTAGGAATAGAAAGGTTCCCCATTCCCTGGGCTGAGAGGCAAAGGGGCAGGAAAGGCTTCGCGTCGGGTACAGAACGATCTCAGGGGAGTGGGCGCCCCCTCC